AAAAACATGTGTGGATATGAATATATATATAGCTGAATTTATGAACAGTGAATGTTATAATCAGTGGGTCATTTCCTGAATGCAACCTTACAATAGAAACCACTTGCAGTGTCTGTACTAATATGGATTTAACGTGGAAGAAGATAAAGGGACAACCTAAATTGTATGACCCGAGGAGGATGATAACTGATATAGCTCAATCCATTTTTTCATATTAGCATCCAGGTGGACCAAAGATCTTCCTTAATTAAGACACAGGTGTAAGATTTTCTTTTTCTTATCTTTTTTCTCCTCTTTTTTTTTTTTTTTGGTGATATTGAAAGGATTTTCATGCGAATTATTTATGTCTATACATAAAGTGACTTTTGTTATAAATGAAAATTGTCAATTATTTTCTTTAATCTTTTCTTTTTTTCTTTCCTGGGTACGAGATTAAGAAACTTTGGAATGCATGTTATGGGACTGGACCGTGGAAGTACATTATGCTGTGCCCTTCATTTGCTTTAGCATATAAACTCCAAAAGATTCACACAGCATGTCATGTGGCTACATTTGTTGATCTTTTCTTGAAAATTTTCAATCTTTATTCCCAATAATTGATCAACTTAACCTGATTAAGCTCTCGAGTCTTCAAGAACGAATTGATTTGTCATTGGATGTATTCATCTTTAAAGAAATTAAAGCTGAGTTTTCAATCAGAAAAGATAAAGAAACATGCAATTTCTAATCTGTGCTAGCTTACAAAACAATCAGAACGTGTATGGCTAGAACAGGTTAGGTTTGTGGGACAAAAAACGAACACCAGAAGTATAAAACTCTATAGCAACGATGATAATAAATGCAGTGAGATGGAGATAATTCAAACCAAAACAACAGGAAAGTAGCAACCTCCGTTTGGAAAGATCCCTCTAGCTTTACGTGGGTTGGCTCTTTCTTTCCATTGAGGGTTTTCACTTGCTAGCAGATAAAAAAGCAGTAGTGACTTCTTTATTGCTTTTGTTTGGCTTTTTTAGTACATAAAGTGATTCCACACCCACCACACTCACTCACTTCTATCTATCTATAGATATTTGGTGAAAAATAATTTCACAAGACCTTTTCACAACAGACCCAACATGAATAGAATAATTTCATTAACTTAAATGGAAATTTCATAAATTGCGTCTGCTATTTAGGTCTTCTAATAAAAAAAGGTTTGTATCGATTTATTATGCATCCATCACTATCAGTTTCCTCCTTTTTGACTGCAAAAATTAAAAACAATTCCTTTCTTTATCATTACGGCCTAAATACTAAATCATAAAATTTGACTAACTGGCTTTTTTTTTTTAATTTGTATATATATTTCTATATATTAAATCTGTAAATTACTTTCTTTATCTTTATGCATTTTGATTCCTTCCTTTCATCTTTCTCTGTTAAGCATTACTTTTTATATAAGATTTCTATAAAATCTTCCTCAGTAGATATATGTCCCAGAACACATCTTTTAATCCCATCTTTTTGAAATATGTTTCAGAAATTAAATTTTCAGAAGTGAACATTAAATTTAAAACATCTTTAATTTGCTTTATGCTTTAATTTTCATCCTCCTAAAAAGTTCTTAAGAGGTCTCGTGTGAACTAAAAAAGCGAGAGAGATGAAGGGAGAAAAGCATTGATTTAAATTTTTTTTTTTCCAAAAAAAATATTGCTTATGGTGTGTGTGTGTATATATATATATATATATATATTAAAAAATAATTAATGAGATCGAAGGGAGAAAAAGCATTGATTTAAATTTTTTTTTTTTTCCAGAAAAAAATATTGCTTATGGTGTGTGTGTGTATATATATATTATATATATATATATTAAAAAATAATTAATAATAGCCCAAATATTGCAAATTGCAAATTCCAAGTATTGTGCTGATCTGCTTCTGTAGAGGAAAGGACAAGGGCATAAGAAAGTAAACTGAAGCCATTATTATGTGCAAAGGAATAAGAGCTACAGTGTTATACTATTACTAGTCATGGTCATGCAGTCTCTCTCAGATGTCCACAAACTGAAGAGTTGTCTGCAACTACAAACAAATTAACCAAATTAAAATTTTAAAGCTTGTAATGCGTTTTGTCTTTCCATCTGAATGCAAAAAAAAAAAAAAAAAAAAAAAAAAAAAAAAAAAAAAGGGGGGGAAGAAAGGTGCCGTAATGGAATATAATATATTATATTTGCAAATTACAATGTAAATTACTCTACATACATTACTTTCCACAAAACATGGAACTTGTAAAATCCCTATATCAATCCCATTATGTTTATATATAGAGTCTATAAGGCTATAGCTAATATAGTTTCTATTAAGAAAATAGACTAACGGTCTGATGGCAAATGATATCTTTCTTTCTTTCTTGGCCAATTACAACACCATACAAAATCAAGAATGTGCACATATAAATGATTTTCTTGTTAGGACATGCTTCTTTTTCAGATAACAAAAAAAAAAAAAAAAAAAAAAAAAAAAGGAATATATATAAGCTAGACCACTCTTTAATATCCCAATCAAAACCATCTTTGAATTAGTAAACTCTCTCTCTCTTCGTTTATTGAACTCATACTGTACAAATCCACTTCCATGGAATTGAGTGTCAAAATCTCCATTACTGTTTGACCTTACGACTTCCACCATTTGCGAGAAAACAAGAAAAGAAAAAAAAAAAGAAGGAAGGGACCCTTACTCCTACCTTAGCAATACAATATAAAGTTGATGGGATGATTCAAAAGCACGCTCATTTATGTTGAGAAGATAGATCGTAATGGAATCTTTAGCTTGAAAGAAAATGCGAGACAATCTTCTTTCCCAAAGGTGCCAAAGAAGATTCCTACTTGGTCATTTTCAAGATTCTCCCTCATAAATTTCATGGAAGGTTGGCGTGGGTCTGACAAGTTTGATCAGTGGGAAACACATTAGTGGCCATTAGCAGTTGACAAGAGCTAGCTCATTCATTTATTTTATGGCTTCACAATTTGTTTTTGCGTTCAACTTCCCACTCAATGAGCCACACGACACTCATCTCTCCTTTCAATCAAGAATCAACATTTGCTTGGCCTTCTTGATTAGTCATTTCGTTTCATTACCAAAACCATGCAACTCTGTTTAATTTCTTTTATTTCGTTATTATTATATCAAATCAAGTTTCTAATTTCCTCTTAATGTCAAATTTATCAGCAGGGTTATAAATCTGAAAGCGACCTCCACTCCTACAGATATTAGTAATCAACAAGTTCAATTTCTTAGAATATCTCAAGTTCCCTCAGAAATTAATAATTTAAATATAATAATTTACATATATATATATATATAATATATAATCCATAATTCAGAAAATAAATTAAGGAGTTGAATCCATGAAGATTAGAGAAATTAATTGTCATAAATCAAAAGAATTATAGATCATGTTATAAGTCTATTGACATTACGTTTCATATTATAAGTCTAGATGATAATGATTGTAATCTATAAAGAGTGGCAATGGAATCTTGTAATTGTTAATTATGAATATATATATATATCTATCTTGATTACTAGCCGCCTGTATAAAGCTTCATAAATTAGATTTGTTCCGTTAGGATACTGACTTATATTTTGGGTGTATGCATATATGAATATATATATATATATATATATCATGAGTTTGAATTGTATACATGGGTGTAGTTGAATTCTAATTTATTAATAAACTTCTTTTTGCCCTTTTCCTAAATTCTTTTCTATAAATCTAATCATCTAATTTTGTAGAAATCATCTACTGAATTCAAGCATGTCTTATCATATAACTCACTTCTTAAATTATTTTCGTGGGAGAGATACTTTCACATCTATGCAATATACTTAATTAAAAAAAAAAAAAAAAAAAAAAAAAAAAAAAAAAACCCACATAATGAAAAAAAAAAAAAAAAAAAAACATAATGGCAGACACCATATATACGGATACGCATTTTCAATAAGCATCATGATGCTAGCTAGCATATTGAAATGTGATACGTGAGAATTTTACATCAAACTCTTAGGATGCCTGCCGTTCTATCATTTGTAATTCATGGTTTTTCAAACATGAGAGAGAAAATCCTTACATAAGTTTTTTGTTTTTTTCTCCAAGTTAAATTTCATTTTGAAAACCGTTAGAACACATTTTAATATTCTGCATCTAGAAACTATTTCTTTCTTCTGAAAGGAAATTAGAAACTGTTTTCTGTTCATCAGAAGTAAAATGTAAATATTTACTTTCTTATCAAATCGTTTTTTTTTTTTTTCTTAATTTTTATTTCCAAAATAGCAAGAAAAAAAAAAGTCGAAAACAAGTCTTAAACTAACCGAACACACTTTTTTCAGAAAACAAATTATTTTTTCCTCGCTTGGAAAAACATCACTGGGCCGGGTTTTTATTGGGCTTGACATCATAAAGAATTAGAGTAATTCGTCTATGTTATCTATCTTGCCTAATGACAACGTCCCAATTAATGTTGATTCTCACTAATGTTGGAACTTGGATTTAGACACTTCAATATTTGGGCCCATTAATTATCAGTGGTCTAGTTTGCCACACGTCGACAGATTCTGATAAAATAGATGATCAGCAGAATAGTCTGATCTCAAGTGATCACGTTCACCAGAAAACGATCAAACTATATTTTCATACTGAAAGAAGAGGATCGTATAATTAACTAATTCTTCGAACCATAACTAATATCTTTAAACAAGCCATTCTGGTAGCGATTCTTTGTAACTTCAGCATTCAAAATTAACCTTCCATAGGTTAAAGATCTTCGTCCTCCGCAGAGTCAAAGAATAACAGGACCAGTACGCATCAAAACCGAGTCTATACGACTTGGATTCGAGACGGCCCACCATAAATCAATGGTTCCTCTAAGATTTGCTATTCTAGTTTTTCTGCAAGCTTCTAATTTAGTTCCAACAAAGAAAAAAAAAAAAAAATTAATAGAGTTCCAACTGGTAAGAGCAAGTTATGCCTCGGAAAGACAAAGTTATTTCTAATAGCGGATATTATCAGAATCAAAATATAAATAAATACATATATCAAAGCAAGATTATGATGCCACAGGTTAAAATATTTGCCTTAAGGAACACTGGATTTGTTCCTGTATAATCTTTACCTATTGAATTTCTAAAAATGACAGTGGTTAGCACTTTATGACAAGAATACAACAGCTTCAACCCTCAGTCCGTCCAGTTATATCTGTTGTCGTGTTTGTTGCTGATTATGTTTGTCACGCAAACCCCACCCCACCCCACTCCTGTTCTCTCCCCCTCAAGCTCGTCAGTAGCTTTCTTCTGTCTACCAAAAAAATTGAAAAATGCTTTAATCATACACTTACAAGGTCCAGATAATTAATCAGCACCCGCATCCTCAGCAGATTTCTTATATTCTGGCTTAAGCTCATAGGTTCCCTGATTTGTTCCTCGCTTGTTGTACACACACAGTTCATTCAGTATCTCCTTCAAGAATTGCTGCACAAAAAATAGAAAAAAAAAATTTGCAAATGAACATCCTGAATGAGTATCATAGCGAACATGTCCACATATAATTATTTTTCTTTTCCTTTCTTGATAACTAACTATCATTATTAGGATAATGAAATGATTGCATGTGATCCAGGAGGGGGAAAAGAAGAAAAGACAGTCCAGATGCCAACTAAATCAGCTCTATTTACCATTAAGGTAGAAAACTGCTTTCTCTGAAAGCACAATTGTGGATGTTCTTTTCCAACTTTTAGAAGTTTTTATGACAGGGATGGGACGTATTAATTTACCATAAATACAATATTTCATAGCATCTAATCAGCATTATTTAATATAGTACTTTTTCCCAATAACTCCTTGAAGTCAAATAGACTCGAACCAACCATGTGACGTCTACTACGAAATTATTAATTAGTAGGAAGAAAGTGAATGGCACTTAATAAATGAAAAACACAGCAAAATTTTAATGGACAAGAAAAAGAATGGCTCACCGCAGGCTGATCAGTTTCTTGTACAAGTTGCTTTAAGGCCCAATTTGGTTGTCTTTCGAATAGCTTGAACATGATATCCTCCAATTCCCCACGATCCCTCCTGGTTCTCTTCATGTCTGACTGTTTAACTGGAGCTGTTTTCTTCTTGTCCTGTTTACATATATTTTGACAATATAGTTTACGATTATTCATTCTTGGAAGCAGGTAGTCATGGATATTTCAGCAAAAATAGGATTACACTTGAAAGAAAAAATGTACAAACACACACTATCAAAGAGAGATACATGTATTATCTTATTCCCTATGAGAATATTGTCCTGCATAGTTCTGCAAGTTAAAGCTAACCTAAAAGGCAATTAAGCCACAGATTCTAAGGGGCCATGCAAAATGACGAGAGAAAATATACCTTGGAGCTAGATGACATCAAGCCAATCATTCCAGGCATAGGTCTCATGTGCACTCCTCGGTCATTATCAATTACCTGGAAAATAAAATCAACCAAAGATAATACCACAATCATATGTGACCAAAATGGCAAAGTAAATGAACCACCAATTCCCTACCTGTATTTGCCTATTCTTAACCATGGACTTATTTGTTCTTTCACGGCACAATCTGCCATACTCCTCAATGTTTTCCTCATGGGGCTTCATGTCAAATTTATGTTCCACTTTCCCTTCCATGGCAACCCTTCCTACAAATTCAGTAGTTTTTCAGTTCTTAAAAAGTCAATGCAAAGAGAGAAACAAGAAGAAAAAAGAAATCATGGATGCAAAACATAGCATCACAAAGTAGCTCTACAATATGAAAGATCAATATATTCAAATCATCATATTTGAACAAATTTGGCCTATGCTAAATGTTATTGTACATATGAATGAAATACACTGAAAAGAACTAAGATACAACATGGTCCACGGTATGAATAAAAAAAGAAGTCCCCAAATTTATACTTCGCAAGTTGCAACATCCAATAATAATATGAATATTAAACTACGAAATAATATAAAATTTCGAGAAATAGTAGAAGAAAAGTCCTCAAAATTCATCATAATAAGCAAGTGAATATGATCAAAGTAAAAGACCAGTACACATGGGATCCCAGCACACAAAGTTTCCTTAAGGACATGCAAAAATATTTCAAAACTATTGCACAAATTATCTGAATCATAAAAATGCAGAGCAAAAAGAACCAGAATCTCACCTTGACTTGTCTCGGAAAAGACACACATAGGAACAAAGTCTTTAAACATATTCAGAGAATAACTTTTTGGTATATTCCCAATCTCATTGCCAGCCATCTCCATAGTGAACTGAAGCATTTACGAAACACATGAAGAAAGGAGAATAATGAATTATGGGGAAAGCAACACATCCTCGAATAAAAAGAATATAAAGATTGATAAAATAAGAGCAACTGGATAGATGACTCCAACAAATACTACTATTATACCATGTTGCATCTCCCTTAACATATTTCATTAGCCAGCTATATAGGCATCACAGAATTCCCTGTCTATTACATCTCAATCGAATACAATTTCTTGATAGCAAGACAGATGATAGCATATGTTAATAGCATATAATATAATATCTGCCAACATATGATTGCATAAACTAGTAATTGTGTCATGTCAATATACACATATTGACAATGACGATGATAATAAGATAATAACAGAAGTAATCATCTGACAGACAGAAACAAATGAATTACTAGATAGTATATGGCACAACTCGTAACTCACCTAAGGTAAGACCAACTGTGACTACTTCACTGGACTAATGGATTGAATCAGTTCCACTATAAAGAAGGCCAATACACGTAAAAGATCGCCGACAAGACAACCATAAAAAAAAAAAAAAAAAAAAACTGGACCTACTTCACTGGACCTAATGGAATCTGAATCAGTTCCACTATAAAGAGCCAAATTACACGTAAAAAGATCGCGACAAGACAACCAATAAAAAAAAAAAAAAAAAACACAATTAACGTCCCACTCAAAAAAAAAAAAAAAAAAACACATTAACGTCCACTCAGTAAGTCAACTAAAGTTGCAGCTAAAATAGTCTGTTTATGAGCTTCTATTAATAAGGTGAATGGAAGACACTTGGTAAATTTAAGTTCAGCAGCAGGATTGCTTTCTCTAAATAATGAAGAAATTAGGGTTTCAAAAAGCCTGCAGTTAGCAGAAACGCATCAATAAGGCAATAAATTCCAGAGGGACAAAAGTATCCGATTCTACTTTGAAGAAACGCAAATTAAGAGTATCAAAATGTTAAAATTGCAGGCAAAATAAGTAATAAGAATCGAATTAATAATATCAGAGCAAACAAGTTGAGAGTTACCTGTAAAGCAGACGGATCGTCGGAGCGGAGAGGATCGAGAGAGAGAACGACCTTAGCGACAGGATGAGAATCTGAAGAAGAGGCATGACTTTGCCATGACTTGGCCACCACTAACGGACACTTCATCAGCCACACCGATCTGTCAGCCTTTGCAGTTTCCAAGACACCGCTGTTGCTACCATTATTACCGTGATCTTCATCCATGTCGATAATTTCTTTTTTCCTTTTATTTCTCGAGGAATTATCTCTCTCTTTTGAGCTTGCAGTCTCCAGCTTTTCCGCCAGTTTCTAGTCTCGTCTCTTCTTGTCTCTGCTCTCGCTCCTTGACGGTTCTGTCTGAAATATTGAGTTCTGGACCGATCCCATTTGAACGGCGTAGTTTTTGTCTTCTTTTTGTTTTTTACCCCTTATCACCCGTTTGGCAGCACAATTGAGCGAGCTTTGGAATCACGCGTGTCATTTAGACGTGGAATAATATGATTGGTTTACTTTTGGCTTTTCTATCTTTGGGTATCTTGGATGAAATTTCACTCCATTTTATAGGTTTTGCATCAATTTTGCCCTAATTTTAATCCTTTATTGCAATTACACTCTAAATTACAATTAATAATTGAATTGCAAGTTAAAAAACATTCTTTATTGTAGAAACCATTCAACGGCTGACAAAGTTAAACACACAGTTTTACATGAAAATGCACCGGTTTGAGCAAGTTGAATTGCAAAATCATTCAAAATTTGGCCTCTGCACCATCTCCAGGTAGTGCAACGCCTCCTAAATAAATGCTAAACATAATTTTTTATCTATATATAATAAAGTATTTCTGTAATTTAATTGAAAATAAATTTCATGATTAAAACTGCAAAGAGCGTTATTATTCAGCTACATTAATGAATTTTTATGCCTGATGCTTCAAAAGATAAAATTCAAAAAAGTATACAAATAAATATTTTCACTATCATGTAAATTTCTGGAATTACTCATAACGTTATTGTAGCAAGCAAATAATTCGTAGTTCCCAGATACCAACGAATTTCATTCAATCCAAACACAACCAGATCATAAAAACATATACTGAAGAGATCAATTCAGATCATAACCAGCCACTTAATAAAACATTTGAAGCAAATATATTCATCCGTTGGATTCCAGATCTATCACAACTTGATAAGTCAATAACAAAGCCTAAAAGAAAAACAAAATAAGCCAGATCTAACAAGATTCAGAACAATCTAGAAACAGAAATTGAATCCTAATACAGATCTACCAAACATATTATTAACAATCCGTTTATGCCCTTTCACCTCTAATTCTTCGAGCCAATTGAATATCTTTGGGCATAATTGTGACTCTCTTGGCATGAATAGCGCAGAGATTTGTATCCTCAAAGAGCCCAACGAGATAAGCCTCGGCAGCCTCTTGAAGAGCTGCAACAGCGCTGCTTTGGAACCTGAGGTCAGTCTTGAAATCCTGAGCAATTTCCCTCACAAGCCTCTGAAAAGGGAGCTTGCGGATCAAAAGCTCAGTGCTCTTCTGATACTTTCTGATCTCTCTTAAAGCGACGGTTCCTGGCCTGAAACGATGGGGCTTCTTCACTCCTCCGGTGGCTGGTGCCGACTTACGGGCAGCTTTTGTCGCCAGCTGCTTGCGAGGGGCCTTGCCTCCTGTGGATTTTCTAGCAGTCTGCTTAGTACGTGCCATTTGCTCTTCACTTGCAGAAAATAAAGAAAAGCCAAGGGAATATCGAGAGCAAGTACTATTATTCTGGAAGAAGTGATGAGGAGAATGAGACTTGGAGATTATTTATAAGGGAGGGTTTGCGGAACCGCGAGAATTCAAAATTTGCGAAATTTTGTTTGGTGGAGGCATTTGAAATTGAGTGAAAAGTAACCACTGGCTTGTAAGCGGGAGAATGAGTTTGAGCCGTCCAGTGTCCTGGTTATCGACGGCTGAAAATATTTAGAGGAATGCAACACGGATCGCGATCCCTGCATAGTGCGAGTGGACCAATGAGAATAGTTTTCACAGCGGCAACTTGAAATTTTGTGTCTTACAACTAGCGCTTTCTCTGAAAATCTAGCGCTTCTAATAGAGGCTTTGAACCGTAGATCATAATCTTTTTAGCGGTTGAGATTTCTCTCAATATGTGTGACGCCGGTTATTCGAATTCAAGCATTGTTCTGTTTTCTTCCTCTTAAACTTCATAAAATTAATTTATACTCCATAGTTCATATAACTAATTTGATAATATCCCAAAGTAATTGTTTAATTTTTTATTTTAATTAAAAATTAACAAGTGAATAATTTTTTATTCATAATAAACTTTCAAATATTTGGTATAATTATATATGATTATATTTTTCCCAATTTTTTTTCCAAAAAAACTCATAATTTAATATTCATATTTTATTTCTAAAATATCATCAATGTAATTAGTAATTTTATGAAAAATAGTACTAATATTTATTTATTTATTTTATACAACATAATAATTTTATTATTGTGTTTTTTATTAAAGTAAATAATTGTCAACATCTACAAGTCTAAATAATTCGAAAATAAATAAATGACAAAAACTACATATAAATTAATTTGTCTAACATCTTAAAAATAAATATACGTAAAAGAAAGTTTTTCGCGTGTCATACCAAAACACATTCCAATCCAATTCATCGTTGCGTGTTAGACCGCAGCATAGGGATAGCAATTTCTTAGAAGTTTTGCAAATTAATGGCCAAGAGGCGCAATTGCCGTCATAATATACATAATGACGCATGCAATAAGTCAATACGAAAAAGAGACAATAGGAGAAGGCTGTGGATGACAATAAAAGTTACACAATCAACTCGAAATTGAAAATGACGTAAAATTTAAAAAAAAAAAAAAAAAAAAGTGATTCATCATTCAAGCCCTTATCAACCAAACTCGTATTTCCTAATATTGCTATCAATTATGGAAATAATATCTTGAATTCCAAATAAAAGCAAAAGAAGAGATTAATTAAGCTAACGTGTCTTATAATTTTGTATTATAATTTTAAAATTTAAGCAGACTATAAATATAATCAAAATCCATTGAACACACTCGGCAATTATAATTTTTATTTCTTCTTTTTTAATTTATTCTGAATGGTAGATTTTTTTTGGCCCACTGACCCTCAGATAAAAATGGACACTAATGGGCTTCGTCTTTTAGTTCATCAAGTTGCAGCCCACCTGTGCAAAACGTATACGTGTCACGATCACAATTTCAATCAATCCAGTACCTGCCCTCTTCTTTGGAATTGCTACTATAAATGTAGTCATAGAAAAATCTTACTTCGCCCACTGCAATCTCCCCACGTATCTAACCAACGATGGAGCGACGCTGCCTCATTTCCTTCCTCGTTTACGCTCTCTTATCATTTACTATCGCGTCCACCACATCCCCCGATGAACTTGACGATCCGTTGATCCGCCAAGTTGTGCCGGACGGCGATCAGGATCATCTCCTCAACGCAGAGCACCACTTCACTACTTTCAAGGCTAAATTCGGGAAAACCTATGCGACGCAGGAGGAGCACGACTACCGTTTCAAATTGTTTAAAGCTAATCTCCGACGGGCGCGAAAGCATCAGATGATGGATCCTACGGCGGTTCATGGAGTCACCATGTTCTCGGACTTGACTCCACGTGAGTTCCGGCGTCAGTATCTTGGCTTGAGGCGGCTCCGTCTTCCGGCAGATGCTCACGAGGCTCCGATCCTCCCGACTAATGATCTTCCCACCGATTTCGACTGGCGTGATCACGGTGCTGTCACGAACGTCAAGAACCAGGTATATACGATATATGTGTATAATTAAGCTTGTAAATTTTTATAAAAAAAAAATGGAATTGTGACGTTTGGCTTGTATAGGGATCATGCGGATCGTGCTGGTCGTTTAGTGCGGCCGGGGCCCTGGAAGGAGCTCACTTCTTGGCAACCGGGGAGCTAGTGAGCTTGAGTGAGCAGCAGCTCGTGGATTGCGACCATGAGGTTCGAATTTTCTTTATTTAGTTTCTTTCATAAATGAATCCTTTACTCACAAAAATTCTTCAGATTGATTAGTACTTCAATTGAAAGGAAAAGAAACAGATTAATAGCAGCAGTTAGTTAGGAATTCAGTTGCTTATTTGGTGTTGTATGCTTCAACGGTGTCGTTTAAGCTATGAATAACCTCTGACGGATGACAACAATTCGGTCGTTCACCGACCCGTATCAACCGCTGTTAAACAAATGGGTTTAGTTCCATTTAAACGGCCCACGGATATCGAAAGTTCCACTGCGAAATTGTATGAAGACTTCGGCTGGGTTTCAGTAAGGTGCTTCTAGTTCTTAAGCTATAAGAATGGTTTCTGCCGCTGAACGACCGCCTAAAAGAGTAAAACTACATCAAAGTTAATTTCAAGTCTAAAAGCACGACATATCGTTTATTTATGAATAATGGCCTTTAATTTTGAACAGGAAAAATATATATTTTCTTTGTGATTTTAAGCTACCAAAAACTGGATTTTCAATTGAACGTTGGACACTTTTGCTGGCACCCATTTTTATATGGCAGGGGAGGAGGGAGTTGCTAGTTTTTGCACTAATTGCATGGGATGATTGAAAGAGTATTTTTAGTTTGCTGTTCTTCTGCTGAATTACATAATATTATGAACAAATTATAGGTTTTTAGATGCAGAGTTACAAGGACGTAGTGGTTGTTGAATGTATTTCTGGTCTTTATTCATGTCAAGCCTGTAACTTTTTGCAGTGCGATCCAGAAGAATATGGCGCATGTGATTCAGGCTGTAATGGTGGGTTAATGACTACTGCATTTGAGTACACCCTCAAGGCTGGTGGACTGGAGCGAGAGGAGGACTATCCTTACACTGGCAATGATCGTGGGCCGTGCAAGTTTGACAGAAACAAAATTGTTGCCTCCGTATCTAACTTCAGCGTCGTTTCTATTGATGAAGATCAAATCGCAGCAAACTTGGTGAAGCATGGTCCACTTGCAGGTACTAAAAAAAGTAACATTTCTGTCTCATTTATTATAATTGCATTCGCATGTGTTATTAATTTGGTGTCTTTTGCCTTGTGCAGTGGGTATCAATGCAGTGTTTATGCAGACATACATGGGAGGAGTTTCCTGCCCTTATATTTGCTCAAAGCGTCAGGATCATGGAGTGCTTCTGGTGGGGTATGGATCCGCAGGTTATGCTCCTATCAGATTAAAGGATAAGCCTTTCTGGATTATCAAGAACTCGTGGGGAGAAAGTTGGGGAGAGAATGGGTATTACAGAATCTGTAGGGGTCGCAACATCTGTGGAGTGGATGCCATGGTCTCATCTGTTGCTGCTATTCACCCCAATTCAGTTCAGTAATTAAATTATTTCATTAAGCAATACAGAGTTGCTGTAAATATAAGTGTGATGTGTACTGTTAAAAATGTGTATGCTTGACAAACTTCTTGTGGTAGAATTAGCTATTTGTAATTTCATATAAGAACTTTCTATTCGAGGATTGTATACGCTTAATTTCCTATGTCTGCCTGTAATTATGAATCCTTGTTAAGTTGTTTATATCTTATATAATTGGCTGCACTAACGACTTCTGTGGCAGAAGGAACTGTAGCATCCATGTCCTTTTCTAGTTAATTAAATTGAGCAACAATAAGCAGTTAAGAACCTGGTTACCTATTTAAGAATTTTTCCTGTGTACGATAATAGATGAGTGAAAAATAAGTGAAAAGGAAGGAGAAGAATAGATTAATCGAAACGTTTTTTATTTAAAAATTAACATTTCCTTATCTCACCCATCACGTTTTGTTCTCCTTGGTCAAGATTTAATATTTAGGTTCAAGCAAAAATATCAGCATATAGTTCCACAGTACAGGATGTTTAGTGTATGGATAAGGTTTCCTAGCCTAACCAATGAGTACTGGTTCTATCTGTCGTCAATCGCGTACAAAATATACAACAATTTTAAGTAATTCTTTAAAAAAACTCTTTCGATTCCTATTCCCTATTTAAACAAGATTTATCAACAGTAATACACTGCAGAAACTCTGTTCTGCTTTTTGCTAAACAATATTGCACAAGCCGTATTCTGTAAGAATCACTATGGAACAATACAATCAACATAATGAACAAACCAATTGGCAAGTTCTACAAGCTTGAATGTTGATCACAATTCCAGATACCATAATCACTTCTAACTGCCTGCCAATTGAACTAACGTCCAAGTTCATCTCAAGAGCCAACATACATGATATTGGCTGCCACGCTATGAAGGTTCTTTATTTCAGCATTCACAAACAAAATGCAATAAGAGGCATTGTCGTGGTACACTGATATTGCAACATCAGACTCTTCTTCCAATCTTGCCAGGAAAATCTCTCCTTCACCTTCTCTTTTGTTCAATTTACAAGAATTATAACTCTCCTATATACTTAATAAATTCAATGAATTATCAAATTCTATTTTCTATCATTTAGTCTTTAACCATTACCTCCAACAAATATATCATTCATCCTCAACAGTGAGTAAAGCAAATGAAAATGGGTGGAACTTGTATCCATTTCCCTCATAGAACTTATTCTGGAATTCTACCCAATGAAGCCGCAAGGCATGTAGAAATGCACTTAGGGTTTCCATCACTAGAAGAACACCAACAGTTGCACATACAAATACAATTATGCCAATCATAAGAATAACAATATTGTTGAACCTGCAGTTGTTAACCGGACATTCATTATAAAACTCATAGAAACCAAGATCTCAAATCACTTTCATTACAGTTGAAACATAGACAAAAGAACTCACCCCCAGGCTAGAAGTAAAACCTTGTCGTAGAAAACACTCGATAACTCTGAATGTGCCAAACTGAATATCACCAAAGGTTGGAGAAATTAGACCATAGTGAGAATCAATCAAGTATGACATGCTTATTTTGCACAACAGTTTCATTCTAAGACATGTAGAGATGAGACCCTTAATTTATAACCAACATAGTTTCCCACACTTGCAAACCACAAGCTAACTGGACAAGTCCACAATGTTCTATCATGTAGCTGCCGCTGAATATCTTGAATGGCTTGATCTAAAAGCTTGGAAGTTTTTTCAAAAACTGATTTTATATGTTTCGGTTATACTTCAAAATGAGTAAAAAGAAATTTCAAATTACTTTTTCCTACATATGTGATTTTTTTTTTTTTCAGAAAATACTTTACAACCATAATGCCACCGAGTAGTATTATTATCTGCATGTATCCTGCCACAATATTATTTCATAGCAAATCCACAGTCATGGCATATTACAATGAACTGTACACATGACTTCGAACCCTTATTCTCTTATTACTACAGAAAAATAAGCAGTTTATATTCTAATAAGCAACCAGAAAGATACGATGATATAAAAGTGCAAATTTATCTTTAATAGCAAATTTAAGTGCAAAGATAAACCTGAGTGCCCATAAACGCAGATATGAAGCTGTATTAGACACTGCCCCAAGCACAAATTCTATTGTATGTATAAGTTGGTGAACAAAGACCTCACTGAACTCAAATTCCTCATGTTTCTGGGAATCATATTGTGGCTCCATTTCAAGAGGGTCCTCAGTGCTGTCAAGTATTGCATAGGATTGGCCTTGGTGCCTCTAAAAACAGCATGGAGAAATGCTTGAGGTTAATGAGATTTTGGCATCAACACATACATAAAATATGTAAATAATACAGAAGACCATTTAGAAACGGTAGGGGTTAGCAAAAACTCTTGGAAACAACAATAGGACAAAAGCACATATTTGAAAATTGAAATATAAGCCCTTAGCATACTTCCTGATATTGCTTCTTCAAGAGAAAAGGCTTTGGAAACAGCATCCATGGTACAGCAACAAGGGCCAAAAGTAGTAACAAAATCTGGTAGCAAAATATGGTAGATATTAAGAACCAGTATCTATTTGTCAGTATAAAGGAAAATCTCTGCTAATCAGAATCACAGATAAACCTGAAGGAATTTTTGGCCAACAAAGAGCTGATTGTCACCAAGATCATCAGTGGGACTCAAAAACATGTATATCATTACATGATACAGGTCAGCTTGAGAACCAGTGAACCATTTCACAATTATGAGGAGTGAAAGGTAGCCAAATAAGCTGTTTAAGAAAATAATCTGGGGCACAAATTGGTACCTAAAAAAAATGCAGCGTTTGTTAGTGAATTATCTGAGATGCAGAAAAACATGCCATGTATTACAAATTAAAACCATCAAACAAAAAAGACATGCACAGTCTAAATATAAGCATCTATAGCACATTAAACTAGCCCTTGCCTCCATTCTAACCAAAAAAAAAATGTTTCAGCAATTAAAAATGCATGTTGTACACAACTCTATGTATTCATGCAGAGAGCAATCAAATTGAGTAAGCTAGCTCACCAGACATTGAGGTTATCTCCAAAGAACTTTGCATTGAAGTAACTCATTACAATCCCAAGATTCATTTGGGCTACTCCTAATAGAATTGACATCTTCATCTTTAATGAGTTAAGAAAAGGTAACTCGCTCCGGGTACCATGCCACTTAGGATCAACACCAAATGTGTAAGTGGCACGCACCTTAAGTAGACCAGAAGTAGAAGCATCCCTGCAATGAGAATTAGTTTTAGATAATTTATATGGCAAAATGAGCACTGATCATATATGGACAAAGTTTACTGCACTAGTTTTACCTGCATGATAGGTCACGGCAGGAATAGGCAGAGGGACCAAATAGTTCAAATGGGACTGAAAAGAACTCATTGTATATCAATCCAGTGTAGATTGAAAAAATGGCCATCATCATAATAACATAACGCCCACCAAAAGTCATTTCCATGATGTCTCCAAGCTTCTGTTGTTTAAAAAAAAGGAAGCTGAAGCATGCATCTATTAAGAGGAAGATAGACTTTTCTATGATCCACCATCTAGCTAATTACCTGACTGGACAATTTCTTTTCCCTAACAATGAAATATAATGTTGCCAGCAGCAAGCAAATACCATGGCCCCAATCACCAAACATCACAGCAAAAAGAAAAGGGAATGTGATAATTGTATATACACCGGGATTCGCTTCCTGGTACTTGGCAACCCTGAAAATTTTTTGTTGGTTAACATATTGGTAGATGATTTCATTCAGCAATTAACAAGCAAACTAGTCAAGTAAAATGATGCATTAAAAACTTACAAAGCAGAAGAAAACTCAAGTTTCAATTTTTCTATCTTATTGTACTCAAGACATGGACAAGCAAATCCCAAATTGAGTTTAATCTACTTGGACAGTCTGAACAACAATAAAATTGGTTGAACAGATATGCTGCAATTACGCAGAATATGACTTGCAGATTGTTCTTGACCAACATTACACTGAGAAGTCATTGCAGTTATTTGAAAAATAAACCATGCAATAACCACCATATCATCTTCCCTTGCAGAGAAGATAGGCCAGTCATAAAAATATATTTTCTAGTTTCTTTTTACGAACCACCATGTTTCCTAGTCCTATCTTCAACAATATTAAATGGCAAAATAATCATAACTCAAAGAAAATGTAATTCTTCCAACACCCAGGACACAGCTGATCCACTATGCAGGTGCCAATGTATCCAAAAATGTTTACCAGATTGAATAATGGAATACATCATCATATTATTATTGTTAGAACCATGATTTCTCCCACCAACTATTACATTCAGAAATTAGGAACTTATTGTGTGATCTGCTCATAATAACATACCCATATGCATCTACAATTTCTTGAAATGCAGAAGTGAATTTGTTTGTGCGAAAAAAGGTAGGTGGTGATTCCTTTGTTTGCAAAACTTGAAATATTGCCCCAATTTGTGAGTTGCTATCTACAGTTGCTTGTTGTAATACATTTTGAATCTGTCATATGAACAACCTTCTGATGACTGGCTAGTCAATCACCCATACAATGTAGTGGAATATTCTTCCTGCAATACTTAACAGATAATGCAACTTATAGGTAAAGAAAAACACACCTGGTCTATTGCAAAAACAGGACACCAACCTTCAGCAACAAGACACTTCTTTGTCACATCTATGCTAAGCATATTTAAAGTATGGTAAACGGATTTTTCCTTCTTCACCTGTATAATAACAGAAAGCAAAGTTTATTACCGGGAAATAAAAAAACAACAAATCAAACATTCACTCAATAGTCAAAAAAAAATATAGCTACAGGACAATTCAATAATGATTAATCCCAAATCCAGTATGACAATTGCTGCTGTGCTGCACAGTAATTTAAACAACAAGACATGAAGACTCATAGCAATAAATAGACTCAAAGAAATTACAAACCAGAAAATTCCATTGTTCAAACTGAACACCAATTGTCTGTAACAAATTGCTCGCGTGAGCCAATCCCACATCTATGGTAGTCTTCAGCTCTGCAAGTCTTCCAGACACCTAGAAATAGATGAAATAAAAAAAAATTATTGTGAACCAATGAGCTGAAAATTAACAAAAAAAAATTCATGAATTTGTAGTTGTGGCATATAAAACTTCATTCTTTTTTATAGGTGTTATGGAGCAAATTAGATAGGGACACAAAATAAAAATGCAATAATTATCAAACTTGAGAGTAAATTATATTATTTTAATATGTAGAAAAAGTTAATTGGATAAAGCATAGAGTAAATATTACCCGCCATTCAGAATCCTTTTGTACAAATACACAATAATTATCAAACAGCAAATCTCAATAGAATTATGGTTTATATCACCACATACCAGCTGAAGAGTTTTAAGTTTCTTATTCCACATTAATGAGTACAAAAGAAGGCATAGTGTTTACCTCGGTCATCATCTGATACTGTTTGCTTAGGTCCTCAGTGAATGGATAGCGGTTTGCTCCAAAAGCTTCACAAATTTTGAGAATTTTGCTCTTTGCTCTTTCACCAGAATAGAAAATGACAAAAACATTTTTCTCAACCTATAAATAAATACCTCATAAGTTTCTGAAAGAAACTGGTGCATGCCCCAAATCTTTAACCAAAAATATAGATAAAGCAACTTCCAGGCATTACCTTCTCTCCAGACACGGGATCAACAACAGGACTTTCAACCACAGATTGCTTCAGAAATACATTGCCCCTAGTTGCACGGAACACAATCCTTTCAAAAGCCATTAACTTTTCTCTGGGTACAAGGCCACTGACAAAACCCAGCTTAACTTGCTTTGAAGGATCTGTTATCATTTCCTGCACAAAGTACACTTCCTAAGTGTCACTTTTAAGAAAATAATGAAGTTTCAACTACAATAGAGAAGATAAGAAAAAATAAAAATCAGTACTTGCTCCAATAATAATGGACTGTCAATGGATCCTTCGTTGTTGTTGTCTACTTCAAGCTTTCTTGGCTGAACCGCAGCACTTTGTTGAGCTGAATGGAAAAGTTCACCAGCCTGAAAAGTGATCACAAAAAATGCTGCAGTTCATTTCACAAATTCAGTTGTTTTGAAAAGCTAAAATTTTGGTGATGCATGCAATTCAAGCTTAAGTACATCAAAAATAGAAACTCATAAATGTCATTAAGGAATTTTCCTTTAAATTACATATTACCTAAGAATCCTCATATCACGATCCTTTCATTCATCTTTCTTTTTTTTGTTCCATGGGCGTGTGTGTGTGTGTGTGTGAGAGAGAGAGAGAGAGAGAGGAAGAGATCTTTAACTCAAGTACCATATGGTTGATATAAGCAAGACCAGTGACATTAATGGCGTTATCTAAAGAATCCAGTTTCTTGGTAACAGACTATTGCTGCACTGCTAGAAAATTGTTTCTGTAGAGGCTCAACAACCAAATAAACATACCTTCTGCAGAACAAGCTCATATTCTAGTAGTTCATTGTATGTGCGCTTTAATCTCTCATTATTTGAGTTTATCTCTATCAGCTCTGCTTCAAGTTCACCCAGTTTAACCTAATCATAATAAAGTCAATTTTACATGTGAAAAACGACAGTCTTTAGTCCACAAAACGTAGTTTGAGAAATTATAAGTACCTCCAAATTGTCCAAATCAATATCATTGCTTCTTGCAGATCTTGTTGATGGCAGTAAACCAATCTTTGTCATTTGTTCCTTGAAGAAGCGAAGCTTGCGAGCCATTTCTGCACACCTTTTAATCTACATGTGACATAAATTACAGATATATCACATCAGATATGAATGATAAAACTAGTTTAGTTTATAAGATACAATCAATATTTAGTGAGAGTATAGCAAAAAAAGTAGGAGAAATTGGATATCCAAGGATGATTTTTTGTTCATTATAATTTAAAGCATCTAGGAAAACAGATAATATAACCGCAATCTACAGGGTAAAATTCACATAACAAAATCTAAACAGTACAAGTATATCACACACCTGAACAGCGTATGTCCGTTGGAATGGACTCTTTTCAGCATTGAGCTGGAATACAGGAAGATCCACGCAATCATTAGCTCTATGATATTTCAATCAGGGAAAGGAAAAGATAAGGCAGACTCGTAAACATGAAATGATGCACTAGAAGCCAGAATGAATTCTGAACCTATTTCCTGACCACAACAACCGAAATTTCTTGAGCCTTGCATTCTAAACATGTACAAGAAAACCTTTACAGTTTATCCACATAAAATTTGAAACTATGCAATGATTCAACACAAGAAAGAACAAATACATTGTTCGCTGTTCAACTTGAATTCTCTACAAAATGCAGCATTTGATCATATCAAAAGAATACAAACTTAGAACGAAAATGAAAGTCCGATTGCAATATCAAATATAAGATGCAAGCTCAAATGAATTCGGTTTTATAATAGTTAATAAATGTGACAAAAATCATAAAGAAACAAATTCAGCAGGAGATAATGTCCACGTTTTTACAAATTAATGGAAAATGGCACAACAGAAAAGCTCTTACATCTTTGAATTGGAAGAGGCCAAGGTCACCGAGATATGAGATTGTGCGATGAGCTGATTCCATAGGAATTATCAGTTGAACCAATTGCATTGTCTCCGATCTTAGCAGATCCATCGTCGGCCAACACCTTTGGTCAACCATTTTTCATCAACTTCTGTAGATCGATTGTCAAACTTGTGCCTTTGCGTGTATTTATGTATAGAGCCAATGCCGGTCAGACGGAAGTCGACGGACGATCAACTCTCAGGCAGCGACAAGACCAGTCTAGTTCGGTTTTTATGGTTGTTATAGTGCACGTTAAGAAATACTAACCCGTCGTTTCTGTTCGACCGTCGTTTTCAAGTGAATAAATTGGGAATTTTCCAAATTTGAATGACGGCGCCGTTAATTAATACACGGAATACTTTGACACGGAAGCCCATCTAAACGTTGTCGTTTGTATCCCGCACATCATTTCCCAATCCGTGTCGTATTTGTTTTTTCTCGCTGTCGTCGAACAAGAGCTGATTTATGTGCCGGACTTTGTTATAAGTCGTTTAAAGGATGAAAAGAGGTTTGTCATTTGTGCACGGAATAAACGTCCATTAGGCCTTTGAATACTTTGGGCTTCGTCTCCAAATTTTCCTAAGCCCATTTTCCGGCCTTCTTCCAATCCCTTTTTACTTCCCATTTTGTTGCTGGGGTTAATAATTTTATTAGTCTATTTAATAAAGTCATCTTTTAATTGGAATTAATCATTTACAAAATTTCCACTTCCTTTTTTATTGAAACAGCCAATTATGCTTCTGCCATAAAGCTAGGTTGGCCCCTGATAGTACTGTACGAATGAGCAGAAACAACCACTGGATGAGACTTGAGAGAGGCTTTAATCGAGTATCAAAAGCAATACACCAGTACTTTCTATAATCTTAACTCACCGTTTAACGAGAAACGACGACATAATTAATGAGCAATGGAGAGGATTTGCTATATAATTAATTTTTCTAATGGATAAAGTTTCCTTTTGACGAAGAATAGCATTACTAAAATGAAAGGAAAAGCCAGGACATGCAAGCAATATTGGGTTTTGGGCTGTAATAGATGCAAAGCTGCAAGCCGATATTGGGACCACAGTCTAGCAAACTCACAACAAAGCCGAGAAGAAGAAGACGACGAAGAAGATGATATAAATTAAGAGTGGATAATAATTACACGCATGCGCATTATGGATCTGACTCTATACATATATATACGTATAACCCTATCGTCCTAAACATTCCATTACCTATTAAACGATTATAGAAGCGTAAAACCCTAGATCTTTCTTCCCAATATTTGGCATTTTCAGCTCTATCTATATGTATTATCTGGCTGACGGAAACAAACAATACAATGCTTTCCCAATCCCAACACTTTTATTACTAGCAGTGGCCTAAGTTGAAAATATTACTTGCTAAGTATACATTTACCCAATATTAACTGCTATTCAAAATTAACAAAGATAAACAAGAACGCGATAAGATAGTTTTTAAAAAATGCAAGTGATCCCTGGTACAGTGACAAGGGTCATGCGCTGGGACCAAGAGGTCCTTGGCTTAAATATTGATATCCTAACATTTAATTCCTTTCTCTCATCGTAGATTACCTCAAACGAGCTTTGTAATGGACTGTACAATCCTTAATTGCTTTTAAATTGTTGTAAAAAAAAGTTAAGGATGTGCTCACTCATAGAAAATTAAAATAATTTTTTATGAAAATTGAAAAATAAAGTTTTATGTTCAAATCAGTTAATTTTTAAAAATTTAACTAAAATTCGAAAAACATTTTTAAGTTAGTTTTTCAAAGTTTCCCTTTATAACAAAAGATATATTTTCCCACTATTTTTCATTTTAAAATATCATATGTTCACAATTAAAATTATAATATGTATAAATAATTTTTTCTGTCAAATATTTTCATTGAAAAATTAAAAATGTTTAAATAACATAAAAAGTATATTATGCTTTAATAAATAATTAATTCTATTATTACAATTTCATCACATCCTTTATTTAAAAAAAAAAAAAAATTCACAATTTTCACTATTTTCTCATTTTAAAAATATCATATGTTCAACAAATTAAATTATACATATGTATAAAAATTTTTTTTCTGTCAAATTATTTTCATTGAAAATTAAAAAATGTTTAAATAACAAAAAAAGTATATTATGCTTTAAAAAATAAATATATTAATTCTATTATTACAATTTCACACAATCCTTTATTTTAAAAAAAAAAAAAAATTCAAACTGATATTATTATTATTATTATTTATTATTATAAATAATCAAATAATAAAAATTCAAAACCTTTTACCATAAAATTTTTTAAAATTTATTTTATAAAAAAAAAAAAAAAAATTCACAAACTGATATTATTATTATTATTATTATTATTATAAATAATCAATAATAAAAATTCAAAACTTTTACATAAAAAATTTTTAAAATTATTTTATAACATTTTATTTCTTTTAATTTTGAAAGTTATGGATAATGTTTATGAAGTTAAATTAAAATATTATTTTTTATTGTTACCAAGTCAACGTATTTTCTATTTTTTATTTTTTTAATTTTTATTTTCTAAAAAAAACTGTTTTCTTAGAAAATAGAAAATAGTTTTCTGTAAATAAATACACTCTAGTATTCTTTTCAAAATAAATAAAGATAAATTTGAAAAAATATATATTTTTTAATCTCTTCATATCGAACAAATGATTTTACACAAAACTTTTTCTTAAAAACAATAAATAAAAATGACAGGAGAATATCCTAATTTTATTTCTTTTTTTTTTTTTCAATGAAAATACATTGATATACCCTCATTTGTGACAAATGATTTTATTGGACCGACTTGATTTATGAATGAAAGTCCATATACAAACAAGTATTTCTCCAAAAGATTTATGATTAGATAATCATCTATACACCGAAAATAAGTTTTATTTGGCATATCGAAATTGAAATATACAATGAGAGTAGTAACTCTCTTTCTTGTGAATTTTCTAAGTTATCTAAAAGAATGTTAGGAGACATGTAAATCGAAGTGAAGAATTCAGAATAGAAAGTTGGTAAAGAGGGAGATCTTCTCTTTAATTTAATTATTTTGTGGGGGATGGCTACAATTTTATTTTGAGGAAGACAGCACAAAAAATTCAATAATTGTAAGATAATTAATTATTTTCTTCGTTCCATATAAAAACTTTAATCCACTTCAGTAGAGTCTAAACTATTTAATCCGAGTTTCGATATAGAATCCTGCTAGAACTGAAGTGGGCCATGGTGAAGTGTAGTAATATTCCAAAAATAATTTATTGTTTTTCTTTTTTATTTTTTGAAAAAGATTACTGTTAGTTCATATGCCATATATGTAAAACACAACTGATATATATATATATATATATGAGTCAATCAATTAATCATCCTTAAGGAAAGTCAGTCAGGCACACAGCTCAAGTAATCGAAATACGTTTGCCACTTCAAATCCATCTGGCAACCATACAATTTTGAACTAACACATTCTTTTCTTTTCTTTTTTATATATATTAAACGAAAAATAATCTGCAGGGAACTGCTAGTGCATGTTATGTGATTGCTGAAAATTCTAAATCAAATCAATATTCATAAGCAGGCAAAGTCAAATAAAGCATATCTACACACGAGACGCAGATCCCTTCAAGCTCATTCAAATGCTTATAGCTGGAAATCATCTTGATTTTCAACTTGCATGCATGGACATGGTCAATCATTTCAATCCCTCGACAATTATATTTTCTTATCATATTAAATTTTTACTGCGTCTATTTTCACTGACCCGATTGACTAGAGTTACCCACAACCCTTCTGTTGAAACAAGCAGCCAGATGAAGTTATTCTTTCTGGTTGAATAGGTTTTAGGAGTTATACTTGAACGTAGAAGATTAAATTTCAGGACCCATATGTTAATTTCATCCTTCACATGCATGGCTAGGTAGCTAAGTATCCTTCACATGCATGGCTAGGTAGCTAAGTATAACTTAATGATGTGATAATGCTTATTAAATTTTATGATTATACAAACAGCAACCTAGTAAAGTTTGTAATACTGCTTCTAAATTGAGGGTTAATTCATTTATTTAAGCAACTCAACTAAAATATAATTTTATCAATAAAAAAATTAAATTGAATTAATCATTTTTCAATTTTCACTGATTTATTTCCGGTTTCAGAAGACCAGAAATCAAATTTCAAGCTAGCATTGACGGTTCTTTTCCAGCAAGAAGAGAAAGAAGATTACTATTCATCTAATACATGAAATTTAGCTACTTTCCTTTATTTATTCATCTTTTTTCAATAAATAACACATAATAGGTTGAAAAAGAAGAAACTCATGCCATTGATTAACCTTAACCATCCAAATTAATAAAATAAAAGTACGAAGAAGTAGAATTAAATTTGTTGGATCCCATGCAATAGCATGACACGAGAAGATCAAAACCAGCTTAATAGTACTATAATATATAGTAATTCCATTTAGCAACCCAATAACAATGACACAAAAGAGAAGATTATGTCGTTAATCCAAAGAAAAAGAGAGAGCACATGTAATGGGTCAGAAATTACAGAAGTAGGGAAATTTTCAAGAGCTTTTGTGTTATATTCCTAAGTACTAAATCTAGTAATCTAGGAAAGCAAACAATAATAATACTCTATTCATAATATAATATGATTGGTAATACTAGACTACATATAACATGCATCACATGCAGATTCTTGCAGGAGCATTAAACATTCTAAGCTACGAGGACTAGGAGGAATACTATTAACCAACTCTTTCCCATTTCACCATTATTAGGTCACATCCATGCACGTCTCTTTTCTGCAGCCTAATTATATATAACTAGATGTAAACACCGAGGAAGAAAGAGAGTTTAATTTCGATGGCCATGCCTCTCCTCCTGCTTCTTCTTCCTCTACTTTTTTTTGAAAAGAAAATAAGTAATAAATTTTCTGTAAATATAGTATAAAAGAAGGTTTTAAATTCTTTGGTTAATCACACACGAAACCTATTTCTTCCCATTTTAAGCCGGCAAGCAAACTGATAAACGGGAAAAAGCGGCTTCGAGTTCAACACCAACCAGAAAGCAAATTCATTAGTATGAAAGAAAATTTTAAAAAGAAAAGTATACCAATTTCTTATTTTCATTTTCAATTTTTTCTTCCCAAAACGTTTTTTAAAAAAAAAAAAAAGAAAGAAAGCACACAGCACGCATCCACATACTCCACAACTACACTCAAAACAAAAACGAAAAATGTGTCATCGATAAGATCAAAAACCAATATATAAACCTTGAAAATCTGAATTGAAATTCAAAACAAAAATAATCAAACACCCACATTGTTCTAATTTTCCTAAATTAAGCTCATCTCTTCTTGTTCTTCTTCTACATGATTGGATTAGTAGGGCGTGTTAAACTTAAAAAACTACAAATTACGATCGAAAACACAAACAAAGCCAACAATTTATAGACTATTAATGAAGGGTTCATTAAGAATAATGCGAATACACTAGAGTTTAATTAATTAGAAAGGGTCCATTTTGAAAGTAGCTAGGATCTTGGGGGTGGGAAGAATTGCGTACCGGCAATAAAAGCATTGAGCGGAGCTGGATATAGAGAAGACGGGTCGATCAAAGCACCTGTACCTTGCTGGTTACTAGGAGTTGCTTCAGTGCTAGTTGTGGCCGCTGTTATTAGATTAAGCTGTTGGGCTCCACCCGAAGAGCTCTCTCCTCCGCTGGTGTAACGACTATCAGGGCCTTGATCGTAGAGAAGGCCTCTAAACATATGACCTCCAATATTAACTGCTGTTTGATATGCAAACTGCTCATCTGCATCGTCCATTGCGCTTACTTTAACACAGCGAAACACTGCTGGGGAATTCACTTCTGGTGGAAAATGTGCAACTTCCAACCCTAAATAATTGTCTCAAAAAATTTCAAGAGAATCAGTGCGCGCGCGAGAGAATCAAGTAAAAGGATATGCAACTGACAAAAGAAGAAGAAGAAGAAGAAGAAGCTAAAAAGAATTAAAGGAAGAGAATGATTGCTATGCCCTCTCCTTGGTGACGCTTTTTTCGTCAGTTTTACTAATAAACAGTAATTGAATGGCAAAAAGAAAGAGAAAAGAGAAAGAAAAGAAAAATATGTGGTGGGTGGCTGACTATGGAGGTGTGGACTTGACGCTAACACACGCAAACGATACGGTCTTTGTTGGGTCCTAAGAACTGAAAGTCTAGCTAGAAATTCTTCAAGATCTCATCATTTATATGCACACATGACTTTCTCTGGCATTTACAGTTTCTTGGAAATTCGTTTGTTAACACCTCTGAACCATTTTTTCTTCGGTCATAAAAATAAAATTGAAAAAGATAATTAGAAAAGAAGAATTCGTTTTTGGTTTTTGTTTGTTTGTATTGTAAACTACAACTTTACCTGACGTGGTAGTGCCTAAACGAGTGCAGGCAAGAGAGGGAGCACCACCTTGATTCTCTCTCTGCCTTTTGGGATTCTCTCCTCGAAACTGTTGTTGTTGCTGCTGGTGTTGCTGTTCTTGATGTTGTTGTTGCTGCTGCAAAGCAGATAGCTGTTGTTGCCTCTCTCGCCTTTTAGCAGCAGGGACCCAAGTGCTCTTGACGTGGGTTTGGCACTGAAACCCTCGGCTTTTACAACAAGTTCTACATCTCAAATGGGCACAATCTTTTTTAGCTTGGTTCCCACAGTCTTGACAGTTCATTCCTCCTCCTCCTCCTCCTAATCCACCTTGTCTCATAACCGTAAAGCCTGATCTTGATGATTCATCAGAGAAACTTCTTCGACTAGGACCCACTCCAAACGAGGAGTAGTTGTTCATATTTTGCTGTTGGTGATAATATTGCGGCCATATCTCAAATCCTTTGTTGTAGATCTGTTCGTTATTTGATCTGTATAAAAACAAATTGTTCTCTTGATTTTTATCTTCTCCTTGTTTACTTGTTACCGCACCTTCTCTCCCGCTTAGATAGAACCACCCAGCCATTGCTTGCACCCAGAAGCTGAAACCAAAGCCAATTTAGACCAAAAATCCATAGCCAGAAACGTTAATAGCTATGGGAATTCGCAAGATCAGTCAGCTGTGATTACCGGGTCGTCTTCTTTTTGGAGTTGGAAATTTGTTGGTGTGAGTTTTTAGGTAAAATCAGTAACTTGAGACGATCTTCTTCCTCTTCTTCTGATTCTGACTCTTTTCTTACTCTGAATATGTGATTTTGCTGTTTCGGTTTTCTTTGCAGCTTTTGAGGTAGACCTCTAACATATATATATATATATATATATAATCTTCTTCCCCCTTCTTCTGATTTGACCTCTTTTCTTAAACTTCTGATATGTGAATTTTGCTGTTTTCGGTTTTTTTTGCAGCTTTTAGGTGACCTCAACATATATAATATAATATATATATTATATATATTAGAATTTTTTGTTTAGGGTAAGAGACTATAGAAGATGGGTTTCCTTGACTTGAAGATTGCCAGCTTTCTTTACTTCTCTTTCGTTGTTTAAAGCAATAATGGGACGGAATTAGACCTCTGCAACGCCGCCATGGTAACTGCACCCCCCACTCTGCTACACTCACCTCATTTAAGACAAACCTACTTTCTTCCTCTCTCTCTCATCAATTACTTATTCACTACTTACATATACACAGTTGTGAGAGAGAGAGAGAGAGAGAGAGAGAGAGAGACAGATAAGAAAAAACAAACAAAAGAATGAGAGAAGAAAAAGGAAGGAACAAGTAAATCTCTCTCTGGGCACTTCTCTACAGTTCTCTTCCAGTTTCAATGAATCTAATCAAAGATATATTGAATCCTAGCCGTTTCACGATCATCCAACGGTTTTCAATTATCACACGTGGCAAAGCATCAGCTTTTCCTTATTCGTCCTTGCACCGGAAAACCCGCTATGTACTTTTTTCTGACCTGACCACCTTCCTGTAATTAAGATCGATTTCTTCTCTCGTTTTTAATCTCCCAAGCAATCTACCCCGATATAGAACCTCTCTCTGCGTGACAGCACTCTACTTATTATTATTCATCACAGATGCGTCTTTCCTTTATTTATTATTTTTTTTATCAAATATCACTTTATTATTTACAATTTCGATATTTTTCCCTTTAATTAAAATCAAATATTTTAATTTTTATAAATTAAATATTTAAATGTGAAAATATATATTCTCATGAGAAGAAAATATTCTCTATTTCGTAAAAATGAAAATAATGTGGAAATGATAGTACTACTGTTTGATTTAGTTTTTCTAGAGAATTTTTGGTTAATCTCTAGGGGATGTTTTTAATTATTTACTAATTTTTTTTAATTTTCCTTTATAAATTACAAGTAATAATATAAGGGTTTGGTTTGTCAATGCCTCGTATTCCACTATAAATTCTTAGGGTAATCATTTTACGATTGACTCGTGAAGGCACAATTTATTTTGTTATGAATTTAATTATTATCAATTGCAGAAATGGTTGTAGTATTGTTTATAGGTCAACACCTTTGATTTAGAAGCCTAACTATATGTTACCCTCACTTTATTATATTTCTTCATCAATCATACAGTACACATGTTTTTTTTTTTTTTTAAGCAAAAGATATTTTATATTTTATTTATATCTCAAATATTGAGTCCCTATAGTCTCTAAAAGTACAATTACTTTAAGCAAATGAGGTAAAGAATTAAAAGAGGTAAAAGAAAAAGAAGTATGGTGAAGTCTATGATGAGTGGCTAAAAGATGTGCGGCTTAATTTCCTTCACGACATATGTGATGAATGGAAGAAGAGTGAAGATGCAACAAATCAGCAACACGCTGCAAAACCGAAGGACCTGCTCTAATTCACTGTGTCTGATTAACATGAGTAACTAGTTCCAGACAATCCATTTCCACCTGGATGGGATAAAAACCTTTATCAATACTCCAAGAAAGCCCCCAAATCAAAGTTTTAAGCTCGGCATCATAAGCTGTCCCGGCATCAATCGGGAAACAAGCGGCAGCAACAAAATTACCATGGCTGTTTCGGAGGATAGCACCCCTGGATGCTGAAAATTTATTGAAAGACGCATCAATATTCAGTTTATAGCAATTATTGAAAGACGCATCAATATTCAGTTTATTAGCAAATCTTGCCTAATTACCATGGCTGTTTCGGAGGATAGCACCCCTGGATGCTGAAAATTTATTGAAAGACGCATCAATATTCAGTTTATAGCAATCTTGCCTAGGCCGACATGTATTTATATATATATATATATGAATTTAATCCATCAAACGTATGAATTATTAGATAATTTTTTTCGACCTTTTCAAAATAAAAACAAAATAGAAAACATAATTTTCTTTAAGAGTAATTATAAATATTAAAGCATAAATGATTTTATTTTCTACATGCTCTTCGTATCAATCTCTTAATAGGGTAAGGATGAGAATTACAAAATCTTTCTGCCCTATTGAATCTAACGTTCTTTTTAGAACATGCCTAAGTTACAAAATTGTAGCATATAGCCTTTCCCCATTTTTTAATTTATATTCAAACTCAGTACTTGTATCTATAATTGGTTAGATAGACACTTGAAGATAAACCTCCCAATTATCGCAAATCAAAAGTGACTAAACCTATTAATCACAATTATTAAAAATAAAATTCAATTATTTTTCACTTTATTTATTTTTCTTCTTTTCCTATTAATCGTTATGTCTCCTTACAAGTGGAAAGGAAAGAAATCAGAAATGAAATTTGTTATTATCTCTTACAATTTTAGGAGTTATAACTTAAAAACAAAGGGCAAGAAAAAGAAAACTTTAATTGAATACCTAAAATGAAAAGGTTCTAGTTCGATAATTTAAACCCACGATAGAAACTTTATAGGAAAAAGCTTTGTAATAATTGGACTTCTAGTGCCTAGAGAATCATCCTTAGCTTCCATCTTACTATAAACACTGTTACCATTACCATCCATTTTACTCTAATTACGATTGATTATATTTCAAGCATTACTGTTTTTTACAGTTTCACTGTTTCTGTTATGCCATGTCATGTGTGATTTACTATTTCTGATATGCAAAAGTGAAAAAGATCAGAAATGTGTTTCTTAAAAAAGCTGAACATAAGTACAGTTATTCGTTAGATTTTGAATTTTAAGACTTGTTTAAAAACTTTACTAGACTAAGAAGGTGATGTAATTATTTTAAATGGAGAAAGATTTGAAAGTCAAATAGGTTGTTTTTACATTTTCAATAAAAGATGATGTGTTTATGTATTGTATTCCATCTGCATTTTAAAATATCTAATAAGGAATCAAAGAGTTGAAATTAAGGTATTTAGTTATCGAAAGTGATAAAGAAATTTTCAAACTGAAACTTATTATAAATATTTAATTTCTGAGGTAAAGAGGAAATAAAATTATAATAATAAAATAATAAACTTACTGTTTATATTATATTATATTAAAAAATAAAAAGAACAATCGGACGGAAGCAGTGGTATTAACAGTGATTAAACTATCATTTTCATTTCCTATTATTCATTTTCATTCCTATGACATTTGATTTGAAATAATAAAACGAACAAATAAGTATCTTTTCAAGCAAAATTTGTAGAATAAAAACAAAATTTAATTAAAAAAAGGAGGAGGAAAAGGACATTGGGTATTTTAGATATGTCCCTTATAATACAAAAGTTGGACAACTGTCTCGAAGACTTATCCCCACGGCCACGGAATCACTCACTCCTCACCAGAAAATGACTTTTGCTAGAGACCATAACCAATTAATAAGCATTAACCAAATAAAGAGAGAAAAAGGTTTCTTTATCACGTGAACCGCAGTTAATTACTTTATTAGTAGCCTCTAATTATTGGATTTCAGTAATTAATAATACTATAATTCGATTTATAGGTACGGACTCCGGCGGCCTCATTGCTATTAGTCCCTCTCCACCGTACAAAATTATCTAAGTGATAATAACAGTAAAGTAAATACCCTAATTACTTTCTTTAATTAATTTTTAATTATAATGGAGTTTACAATTTGAGATTAAAAATTAAAAACGATAAAAAGGTGCAATTTAATTTATGCTAATTAGGGGCCCGAGGCACAGCAAAGTCTTCGTCTTCTTTAAAATTGACTCATTTCAATCTATTTTTTACTATTAATCGCCGGCGAGCAAGAAGCCAATTTATAGCTCCGTAGCTCCTTAATCTTGATTATCTGTTGGCCATGATTTATGGTAGCAGCCTATATGAGTTTATTATTAATTATAAATTAAGAGAGTAAACCATCATTATTATTATTATTCAGGTTTCGAGGTACGATGATGAATTCCATGTTCTCTATATTTGTTAATCTTTTGTACTAATCTTGAATTCAAGAAGCCTAATCGATTGGTTTAATGCTTAAAAATATAATTTTATTTCACTTTCCAGTAATTAAACCAGTCAATGGTTTGAAAATGAATTACCCGAGTTAAAGGTTATGATACAGGAGGAGAATCAAGTTTCCCAATTTTATTTTTATTACTTGTAAGTAAAAATAATTTTTAGAAATAAAGTTCAGTAGTTCCAAATTAATAAGCTTCAGTTTAGTGGATTTATACTTTATTTTTCATAAATAAATCATGAAATGTTTTTTTTTTTTTATTTCTAGAATACTCAATATATATTTTAAATCGTCTATGCGAAAATTTTAATAGTATCTAAAATAATGAATTTTTTGATTTTGAACTTTGATTTTTATTTTTTTAATGCAGATGATTCACATTTTATAAATTATTCATTAGACATAGAAACAACACGCTTAGTCAAGAAATGAGCAGCCTAATCATTTACTGACTTCAAAAAATAATTAAACAAATAAACAAATTGGATTAAACTCAGTTATCAAACCCTTAAAATCACCAATAAAAATTTTATTTTAATTTTAAAAATTATATTATTAAGGTTCAAACTATAGGATTACCCTAATTTGCCATTGAAGTATATATATATTTTTTTAAAGAAGACATTACAAGATTGATTTACTCTCTTTCTGATTGACTTTAATTCAAATTTACAATCAAATGACAAGAAATTATTATTATATATTTCTTTTCTTTTCATTTTGGAAACATCTCTGAATGAATAATCTACTGATGCTATCTTACAAAAAGAAAAGGAGAATTACAAAGATAATCTATCTTATACGTTGACATGACTGATGACTGATGACTGGCCAGTTAAAAAGCTATGAGTTATTTAAATTCCATAGCTGAACCCACACATCAATGATAAATTCTTCG